GCATAAAAGTGCATACTAAGTCTACCACGTCTACAGATGCACCCACCCTGGACAGCAAGGGGAGAAGAAGCTCTGCAGGCAGCCTGTTGAAGGAGAAGGTTGAATCCTAAGTAAGGGGGTACAGTTCACCAAAATTGTCCCTTTATTCATGGTATAGTGAAGGTGAAAAACCCAACACATGTCGTTAAGAAAGCAATCTGCAGTCCCTGTATAACGAACATTACCTCAGAAAGGCAATGATAATAATAATAAAAATAATAATAATAATAACAATAACAATAATAATAATAATAATAATAATAATAATAATAATGATAATAATAATAATAATAATAATGTGCTTATATAAACAAGTAAATTAAACTCTGGGGGGATTTCAGTGCTTAGAGTTTTGAGGGAAGACTCTTTCTGGATATAATGCAAAGGAAAGATTATAAATTCTAGGCTTGCACATGTCTTTGATGTCTTTGGAGGTATAAACTCCACATCTCCAAGATAAGCCTGCAAGGACTAGAAAAGAAATGAAAACACATTCAGACATCATTTAGAAGACAAAGGAGAAGTAATTTTCAACATTCAACTCTAGATAATTCTATGCTTTAACAAGTTTCCTGGCCTTTCTCTTGCTCCATTATTGTTCTATTCAGTTGTGCCTTAAGTTTTGCCTTAAGTTTTGCCTTATGTCTTGAGGGATATAAAAGATATATATATGTGCCTGTATACACATACACATGTATCTGCCTTTAGACATCTACTCTATCCTGAATACAAAAGTATAAGTAAGATTCTTTTTTAATTTATTTATTTTAAATTTGAATTCTCCAGATACAAGTTTCTGTCTTTAAAGTTGTCAGATCCTTTACAGAGATATGTCACTTTAAAGTTGCATTAATTTCTTACATTCCAACACCTTTCAGCTATAATTATTATCTTTGTGTAATAGACTCCAATCAAATCAGGGTAAGTGGCAACTCCAGAAAAACAGGGTAATTTTACAAAATTTTTCTGTCTAGGTTTAGTCCAGGCTCACCAGGTCACTGAAGTAGGAAAGTATAAAGTATAAATGGAATAAAACCCTAGGGGGTCAAAATATAAAACAAAAACTCTTTAGACTTTTGTTCCTTTATGCTCCGTGGTGTTTAATCCCAGAGAACCAATAAATGCAGATGGAGCACAAAAAATATGAACTCACCTTAATGTTGCATTTTTTTTATAACTTCCACTAATCCAAATGTTTGCTTCACAAGTCATGTGTAAGAAAGAGTTTGCATGGTTTATATTCCCAGGATCCCATTATAGTAAAGCTCAAAAACAGTTCACTCAAGTATTAGTAAAACTGAAAGGTAAAAAAAGTCCAGATTCTCAGCTGATAATAAATCACTTTATGTCAAGCAAAAAAAATTCTGACCTCTGCTTTCTAGCACCACTCATTAAAACAAGAACTACGGAAATAAATGTGGAAAATAGAGTATTAAAAGAAATATAAATTTTTGCTATCTAAAGGCAGATGGCACAATGAAGATAGCTCATCAGATTACTAAATCTGCCTCTATAGAGAAGAAAACTTCTGCATTGAATCCTTACTATACATTGCTCTCCCTACAATTCCCTTGAAATAGAATTTTGTAACCTAAGCCAGCTTGGTGTCAGAGAGATTTATTTGGTGTATGCTCCTTTTGTATAATTATTTAGTTATTACTCCTATAATGCACAGCATTATCTGGAATAAGCCTGCACTGCAGTGGTGAACCTCCAAAGTAGCTTATGTTTCTTCTTATAATCCCTCACTCAACCTAATTCCCTTGTGAGGTCTGAGAAGAGTATTATTCATTCTACAGACAGAAATTTAGGAAGAAAGAAGTCCAGCATTTCATAGAGAATCAGTAAGACATCAAGAAGCTGAACCCAAGTTCAGTGCCTCAGTACCATGAACAATACAGAACATTTCAGTCCCATCCAATCTTCTGAGAATGTTTGCCCAAGATACAAGGTTGTAAGTTGCACTGGGAGATACAGACAAAACCGACCAAATAATTTTTAAAATTCTTTTTTGGTCTCCTTTTAGACAAATGTTAACAAACAGAACCACAAACAGCTCTTTCAAAGCCCCTTTGTTAGAACTGAACCTGCTGGAACATAGCACCTATTCAGGTCTCTTGGTTTGATTTGTTCCTACTTCATGAGCAGAAAGAGAAAATAATGAAAGCTGCTACGTGGTATTTGCATTTTGGCATGTAGGAATCCTCCTAAATTAAAAATCCAGACAGACATCTAGAAGTGGAATATGCCAACAAAACAGCATAAACGAATGAGAGATCTTCTTGTTACAATCCCTCTCATGTTTTCAATAATTTAGTTTTCAACTTTCTTGATCCTTTTCATGCAAACTTCTCACTACTTTTTCACTATCATACTTCCATACTGCACAGAATCTCATTTTGTAGGCTAAAAAAAAGATAGAATAAAACCTTTAGGTTTTCAGCAAACACCACTGAGAAAAAGAATAAGACAGCTACTATGAATGGCACAAACACAATTTTTAGTAAGTAAGATTAAGCTTTTAGGTCAAGATTAAAATTGCCTTTCAACTGTATTTTAAAGTCATATTATTAGCTTCAGTAGATCTACACCTACTTGTAGTAATAACAGTAGATTCCTGTGACTGCAAGATCAAGTTTATGGTAATAAAGAATTTATAGAAAACTCAAAAATTAATACAGACAAAAGTACAATGTTATTTTAAAGAAATCAGAGGTGATTCAATTCCATGACTAGAACTGTGTTTTGGAATACAAAGTTTTGATTCTTACATCACATCTTATGTTTCCACATAACAAACAGCTCTCAATAAATCCATTAATGTTTGGGGACCTGGAGCTTCTGTGGGTCACAAATGGAGCCATTGCTCCCATTGGAAATATCTACGTTTCTTTAAAGATGTGTACTGCAACTTTAAGTAACTCCTATTAGTAATCAAAAATCTTTTTAAATCCCACTTCTTACAAATCCAGATCTAGTTTAACTCCTACATTCAACTATGCAAGCTAAAATCTTTAATAGAGACTTCCAAAATTGTCATACCACACAAAAAATAAAAAAAGCAAAACAAAACAAAACCTTACCAAGCTCCTATTGTGACAATATGGATATTTACACATGGAAGTAACACAAATATATAAGCATTTGTAAAGTCTTGGGCAATATTATCCTTAGACCTGGCTTTTATTTGCAAATTAAGTATGCATTTTAAAACCTAACAGTGACTAAATACAGAGGTGATGACATTAAAACTTCACTCACAGAGACTTCCTGCATATAACATAACAAAACACTTCAAATCTAATTTTCAGCAATTTAAGAACTAATTTTTAGTGCTGTTGTGTTGTAATTCAGTATAGTTTACAGAGGTCAAATATGCATCCATAGCAATAGGGTAGAATCTCCAAAATGTAATAGCTCCATAAAACCAAACCATCACATGTGTACAAGAAGAATCCATTTGTTTTTATCCTTCCTCTTCTGCTGTACTGAGGAACAAGAAGCTAATTTTTTTTTCCCTTCAAGACAGCAGTAGCTGTGAAACTCTTAGCCTCCTAAAGGCTGGCTCACACAAAACCACACTGAATTGCTTCCACAGCAGCTGCTCCTACATCTTGATGTGGTGAGAGGTCACTCAGAAAGAGATACGGCATCTCTGTGGAAACATTGGCATCTAAGAGCTATCTGAGCAGACAGGTACTAAGACTGGTTCTCTCACACTAACACCTGCAGTATGCACCATGTTACAACACCCATAAAAACCTGGATCTATCACGAAAAATAGGAAAAAGGCAAGCAACACAGCAGTTGACCCTTTCTCGCATCACTGGAAGTAATGGTGAGCATTTTTGAACAAACAATTTGTCTAAAGTAGGTGAGATTAATAGATATAGGTGAGTTTAGGCATTGGCCATAATTAAGAAAAATCAGCTTACTACGACTTAACTTTGAATGAAAGGCACAGCATGAAGTTTTCGGGCCAGAGATCGTCTGAATTGGATTTACACTTTCAGGTTATTTGTTTTAACTTTATGAACAGTCTTTTAGGCAAGGACAGAGAAGTGTCTTCCTAAACACAACACCATGGGGAACCACTGTGGCTCCTCTCTGAAATGATAAGCTCTGAGCTGGAGAGCCACAGGGGAAAAAAGCGGAAGGAAAACGAGCGTGGATTTTAAAGGGGGAATAGACGTCTCTGCTACGAGGCCCTCGTAGAGGGAAGAGTAAAACGAGGCCAGGCTGTCACTGCTTTCGGAATTGCAAAGGTGCTGCCTCAAAGGGGAGAAAACTTCCATTAGCAACTTCCTCTGAAACACCTGAAAAAAAGCAGCACACAAGGGCTCGTACTCCCCTATACGCGTAATTAATCTGGTAATGTCTACAATTTATTAACAACAGCTTTAAACACCGCTGAAGAGAGCTGGCTTTTCAAAACGAGGGTCAAAGACAAACGCTTTGGAAACTCAACCAAGCTCAAGCGCAAGGGAGACAGGGGAAAGAGCAGGAGTTAACAAGTGTGGGGCCGGGTTTGCTTCCCCTGCCGGTGTCTCCCAAGGGCACGGTGGCCGGCGGGCCGGGCCGCGGCGGGAGGAGCGGCGGCCGGGACCCGCGGCGCTCCCGGACGGGAGAAGCGCTCGGGCCGCGGCCGGGCCAGCGGGGCCGGACTGCCGAGGGCCGCCCCGGGAGGAGCGGCGGGGTTCGCTCCCGGCCCCTCGGGCTCGTACCGGGCTGCCAGGCTGGGCCCCGGCCGCTTCCCTCCGGGTGCGAGTCCCACCATCGCTGCCCGGCGTGCGGCGAGCGGGACCCGCCTGCCAGCGCTGCCCTCCGCCGGCGTTCCCCCCGTGATGCCGCACCGCGGAACACCGAGGAACCCCGGGGAGCTGGGCACCATCGCTCCCTGCTCCCTTGTCCCTCTCCGCTCCCTCTCCCCGCGGCGCAGAGTGAACAAACGCGCCGCCGTCTACCTGTGCAACACCTCCGCAACACATTTTATTTACACGGAATTAGCTCGGGGCATTGTACATTATATACAGATATTTCCCCCCTCCAACAAGGCAGATCTTGTGCAAGATTAGTAGCATCCTCTGGAGTGTATCCGACAGTCCACGGGAAATGTCCCCCCCACTTAGAAGTATCAGCTGTCAGAGTCCAAGTCACTTTTCCCGTCCTCTGGTCTCTTCTCCGGTGACGTTTTAGACGCTTTATTCCATTTTTGTGCGTTTTCTGATTCCTCCGAAGACGATCTCTTTTGCCTCCTCCACTTCGCCCGGCGGTTTTTGAACCAAACCTGTTACGTTAAGAAATTAAATTATTAGGGCGAAAAACAAAAATAAAACTATGCAAACCCGCAGCTGACCTCAGCCCCGCAGGAGCCCTGCTGGGGCCGGTGTGCGGCGGCCAAACTCGGACGGACGGACGGACGGACGGACGGACGGACGGAGGGAGGGAGGCGGGGAAGCCGCTCGGGTGGGACCGGCCGGGCGCATTCAGGAGGCACAGCCGCCTGCCGACAATCCCTCGCAGCCCTGTGACAGGCTCGGCCGGCCGTCCCAAGGAAGGGCACTTGGAAATAATAAAAAACTTTCCCTCTGCCCCCGCAAAGCGGTCGCTCTCCCTCCGCTGGCAGAGCCGGGCTGGAGCCGCACCGCGATACATCCGGTTCGGGCGCGTTTGAGTGCGAATGGGGAGAGGGTTGAAGAAAGAAAAAGAAAGCAAAGTACCTCCACTTTTTCCTCTCTTAAGTGCACCCTTCTGGCCAGCTGCTCCCTCGTGCCCACGTCTGGGTATTTCGTTTCCTGGAAGAGGTTTTCCAGCGCTTCCAGCTGCTCGTCAGTGAAGATAGTCCGGTGCCGTCTTTTTCGCCTGCAGTGCAGCTGGTTCAGTAACTGCAGCTCCGTCCGGGACAAAGTGCCCACGTTCATGTAGGGCAACATCTGATGGGGAACAGGGGACATCAGGACTGACCCAGTGCCCTCGTAACCTACGGACAGACAGACGAGTCGACGATAGGCTTTGCATGAGATCGCTGCTTCCCCCCACTCCTGTCCCGTCCCGTCCCGTCCCGAAAATGTCCCCTCCCGCCGCCCACCCGCTCTCCTGCGGGCCTCCAGCTCCCGCCACCCGCTCCGGCCCCGCGGCTGCGGGAACAAAGGGGCCCGTCCGCCCCGTCCCACGCGGGGCCGCCTTACCTGCGGGGGGGACGCAGGAGCACTGCTGGGCGCCCAGGGGCGGCACGGCCCCGCAGCACGAAGGGCCCACGGGGGACGCCGGCACATGCAGCTGCCCGTAGTAGTAGTTGTTGTAGCCGAGCCGAGATCCAGTGACGGCCGGCGGCAGCGCGGAGGCGGGAGCCACCGCCCGGGAGTAAAATCCGCTGTAGTCGGAGGCGCTGCCGTAGAGCGAGTCCCCGTGGAGGCTGGGGAAGACGACGGGCGCGGCGCTCGGGGGCAGCAGCACCGAGTCCTTGCAGCGAGGTCTGGCCGCCAGGATATTGTCGATGCTGAACATGCTCACAGGCATGCCCCAAACCGTGCGGGGCAGGGCGGCGGGGACCGGCCGGGGGAGGGAGGGAGGAGGGCGGGAGGGAGGGTAGGTGGTGGCTGGGGAGGGGGGGGGAAGAGGCTGGAAGGACACGAAATCGAAACTTTTCGGATAAATTTTAGAAAGAGATCGGAGCGAAAAGAAAAGAGCCTTTTCCGAGGGCAGCTTGCGGGCAGAGTGTGCGTGTGTGTCTGTGCGCGCGTGTGCGGTGTGTGTGCGTGTGCGCAGGATCCACCCCTGGAACTTTCCCCCCTCAACTCTCGCCTGTTTACTGATCTCAACCCAGAGGGCTGCTCGGAGTATAATCCATCTGAACCTCTTCCCTTTTTTATACCCAGGCGACGTCATCCTGGATTTAGTTCCTGGTAATATGCAGATGACAAACAAAACCAGATTTGATTTTTTTTTTCTCCCCTTTTTTGGTGGGGAAGAGGTGGGAGTTACACAAAGGAGTGAAAGCAGCCAGAGTCTGTGTATTGAGAATTAATGAAATTAACGTAATCCTTTCCATTAGTGGGCTTTTTAGAAAGGCCCCAGATTTAGGCTTGATCTCTGCTGCACCGGCTAATTGCCCAGGTTAATCTTATTAATGCCATTGTGTAGAAGTGGTTAGCAGCTCCTAGTCTTGTCTATTATGCACCTACTTTGGTCGTGTTAGTTCACATTAGTGGGTGCGATTTCCTCTGTCTAAGGCTGAGATTCATTATTTATGCTTCGAACTGCTTAAGAAGCACTTAAAAAAAAAAAGAAATAAACTGCCACATAAACATGCAACGCCCCCCCCACTCCAAGTGTTTCTGTAGCAGGGTTTGTATCTTGCTCGGAGGACTGAACGGGCATTGAAGAGTATGTGTTTCTCTGATTTAAGGTTTATGCAGTGAAGCAACAACGTCTCCACTGAGTAACTGAATTATTTTTTATTATTTTCCTAGGTCACCTGGCAGAACAAGGACACATGAATATTGTAAACTTGTCTCTCTCCCCGTTTTCAGGTTTTTTTTTCTTCCTTTTTTAACAGATTCAGACAGGTATCACTTTTTGTTTTTAAAACAAGCCAAGAGAAGCAAACGTTAAAGACCAATGCCATCTCAAATCCCCGCGTGTGGTAGGTATTCCGATTTGCTTCCGATCTATCTTGGTGCCTATTTCTTTTCTTTTTAATCTTTAATTATCTAGCTTAGAAAACAAAGCCCATAAAGTTGCAATGATGCAGAAAACTTTATATTTTGCATGTTCCGTGAATTTTTAAATGGAGAAATTTTAAATCCCTAAAACTCTTCATATTAAGAGGTTTGGCTCTCCTGGTAGCTGGCTCTTGTGATTTGCAGAATACTTCGTCTGTCACGACTGTCCCTGGGAATCCACAGGAGGTGAACTGAATAAGATTAGACTATTTACCCCATCAACTCTCCATCAAAGAAGGTAGGAAATTGTACGCATGAAATGAAAACAAGCCATTAGAGTCCGTTTACGAGGAACACATTATTTTTCCTCAACAAAGAATATCCTCGTTAGCGCTTACTCGCACTTTATCTTTAGCCTTCCTTTCCTCGATATACCAGGATTTGAAACCGCACCTGAGAATGATCTGAAACGTATTTCTAGCGAAAGATTTGTATAAGCGTTAAAAAACAATTGCAAAAACTAAATTATCGCTTTATTGATACATCGCAATGTGATTAATTAGCTGCATTTTTTTTACTTCAATTTATCTGCCTAACCATTTCTTTATGCCTTCGGCATTTAGACCTGAACTTCGTGCAAGTTTTTCAAATTTGATAGAAAGTGAAACTATTTGACACACGGTTAGGCGGGTTTTTGGTTAGATTTGGGATAATTTTTTTCCTGTTGATATTTTGAGAGTTTTCTTTATTTTTTATTTGTTTGTGGGTGGGCTTGGAGTGGGAGTTTCGGTTTGTTGGGGTTTTTTTTGGTCAGTAATTCCCTGAGTGCAGCCGGTCACGCTGCATGCAGAGCAGCGCCTGCTTAATGCCGCCATCGGGATGCTCCTTCACGTCCTCAGCGGCTCTGCAGCAATGCGCGACAGCATCCCTCCGGTGGCCCGGGCGAGCCGGGCTGGGGGTCCCCGGGAGAGGCAGGCCCGAGGGGAGGCCGGCAGCGGGGCACGGCCCGCTCCGGCTCCGGCCCGGAGAGGCGCATCCCGCGGGAGCATCTCGGGACGGGCGCTGCGCGGCCGCGGAGGCGGGCGGCGGGGACAGCGCTCAGCCGGGACTGCCGCCCCTCGGGGGACAAACCGGGTGACCCCCGGAGCCCCGCTTCCTGCGGGGGCTCGCAGATGGGAATGCCCTCGGTGGGGACACCCGCCGCCGGGGCCGACTTCTCGGGTGTTTAGCATCCCTTGCGTCAGGGCTTCATCTCCGCGCCCGTCCGGCTTCTCCCAGGTGACAGCAGCACCGCGGGACACGAGTGGGCACCCGAGGAGCCGCGGCGCCGGCGGAGCACACACCGCCCGGGCCCGCCGGGCGCTCGGCTTCCCAGAGAGATTTTTGTTCTCCTGACGGATGATCCACCATGCTACAACTCTCACCCTCATTCCTAATTTAGAAATTATATTTTCCAAATAACTTTGTTCGCCCAGTGGGGACGGTTTCTTTTATTTTGTTTTGTTTTAGTCTGAGTCGTTTTGCCGTGAAACCCCCGGTTTCGATACCCGCTTCGCAAAGCCTGCTCTCGGAGTTTCTCATTTCCCATGCGCTCTTTGCTAACCTGGCAAACGGAAAATTGTGTTAAACAAACAATCAGTTGTCACACAATGTCGGGGTGAAATTGTAATAACAAATGAAACACAAGCAAATTGTGCTGCATAGTGTTGCTAAGCAATTGTTTGTTACGGGAGGGTGGTCACAGCATGGGTTGAAAGAGGGATCTAAAGAGGAGCATAGCACTGGGCAGAGCAAGCTGTTAGGTATGAAATACGGTAAACACGGCGCTGATTTTCAATATTATTACCCAAACACGATTTCATACAAAGCAATCACCATACACAAGTCTGTGAAAATGCGGAGAAATCTGACTTTTTTTTTAATTTTAATATATTAAAGAATAATTCCTGGGATGCAAAACGCACCCATCCCTTTCCCTGCGGAGTCTTTGACCGGCCGGGAGGGGCCCGGGGCGCCGAACCCCAGCCCGGCCGGGGCTGGTCTCGGCCAGCAGGTCCCGGCTGCGGCTCCCGCCCCACGCCGGGGGTAGCGGGGGTGAACCGGGGCTTTGGGGGATGACCGGCGGCGAAACGGCGCTTCGCGGCACATCCCTCACTTATAAATGCCATCACCCTGCAGCGTTCCCCACGTTTGTTTCAAATTGATTGCATCATTGCTTCACCAGGAAGAAAAAAAGTATAAAAGTCATACAATGCGGAATTACCGTAATTTGTTCCCAGAATAAACTTATCTTGAACTGATTAGGAGAGTCAGTCATTTGAAAACGAGGCAGAAACGCGGTTGGGTATTTTTCTGAAAGCTTCCCTCTAACAATATCAGCTTCTAAAGTTTTCATTCATATAAACTTTATTAATGAAGATCTTTTATTTAAACGTCAAGAGGATTTGAAATTTAGAGTAAATTATGAAGCATGCATGTCTTGCCAAGTCATGGGTCAAATGCATTTGTGAAAAACTGCTAAAAGAGCATATGGTTTTGAATTTTTCTACAATGACTAGTGTTTAAATAAATTGCTTGTACTGCTTAACTTCATGTATAATTTTGACAGAAATTGGCCTATAGCCTTTTGATATGTAAACATTTCAGGCTTTTATGCGGTATAAAAAGACACTTGCTTTTTGGGATCAGCTAAAGCACTCACCCTGTAATTCAGAAAACTGGCACCTAACGTTACATTCTTGCTGCATTTCAACTTTCAAGTGGCAGCATAAAGGGGGAAAGGAAAAGGGACATTTCAAAAGCAATTGGAATTAAAAACTGCGAATGAGGTGGGAATGTGCCACTCACTGTCTGATTGAAATGGATAAACCTTAGCACTAAGAGAATTCTCAGTCTTGTTTTCTAAAAAACAACAGAGGAATCAGTGAAAACAGTCTTCAACGTAGCACAGACCTGACTCCCATGTCAAATTAATGCCTTAAAACAAAGTCTGTCTAAAGTACAAATAGGTGTGATGAAGAAAACCCAGATATCCCTTCTGAATTCTGCCAGCTGTTTCTCTTGTACAAACTATCCTGGGCTGTAAAAATTGAAACAGACTTTTATACATGGAATAGTGCATACAATGTATATAAATATACCACTAGTCTTTGAAATGCCACTCAGCTAGATTCATGTTCACTTGCATTTCACCAGTTCTTACGTCTTTTTCAGTTTTTGCTCCAGTAAACATTCCATTCACTTCAATTAGTGTTTTGTTTTGGTAATGTGTTTTGGTTTTTTGTTTTGGGGGGTTTTTGGTGTGTGGGGGGGGGTTTGTGTGGTTTGAGTTGTATTTTTTTTCCTGTGAAGAGGAGACTAGAATGTGCTAAGGGCTTCAGGATACAGCCCATAAAAGTAGTGGAGTCACTCAGTTTTAAGTCTGCTTAAACTAAAATGATTTTGTACATATATAAATCCACCAGGCTACTGAATAAATTCATTTATTACTAATATATCTGTCTCACATAAATAAACCTCCTAATGTTGATTAGATGGATAAGCCTAGCACAGTGCTAGACAGAACAGGACCTGGATAGTTGCCTGGTGCCAGACAGCTCAATATGTTTATTTCCTGTGTGCTTTAGCGGGGACTAAGCTGAAGTTGGAAAAAGGTTTAAATGAACTATATAATTTCAATCTGTTACTGTAGTAACATTTGTATTTATTGTATATGTCAGTTAGTCATACACAGAGTTCTCAAGATACACTACCCCCTTTGTTAGTGGTCAGAGGTGACTTTTTTTTCAGAATTGTAATGAGTCAACATAGACAAATTCTGTTATAGACAAATCAGATGTTATAGCAATTTAAAAG